ATTTACGGACCACCCAGTGTGACCTTGACCCCTTACGGACCACCCAGTTAGCTCCCTTCTTCGGCTTAATTGCCCTCATATACCAGGGACAACCGTCAGCATGGTTTTTACACTTCATAACAAATCTTGACTCGTCGCTTTTTTCAACTATGGCTGTCCTGCGCCCCTTCATACAATGTATCTTCACAGCATGTTGCAATTCTGGTTTGGACCCAAATTCTTGTTGCACAAATAACGGATCTCCTAACTTCCAACCTCCGTGCAAGTCATCATCGCCATATAGGATCTCCAACTCGTCATTAGGGTGCGCCCAGTTAATGAATGAATAATGTTGGCTTTCATTCCAGAATGGCTCCTCAGACCCTGCATCTAAAGATCATGTCAAATTTAATAACTTACCACAAATAATAAATTGTCTAAAGCAAATATTCAAATTTAATAACTTACCACTACTGACTGGGTCGACATGAAGTGGTGACAAGGCTGGGGTACCGAGACTTACGGCGCTCATGTCAGCCTCAAAATTACCGTCCACGTCAGTGTCTGACGAATCACCTTCTGGAATAGCACTTTCAGGTTCTCCCTCATCTTCGCTGTCCACATAGTCCTCGTCTTCATCCTCTTCATCCTCATCCCATGCTACCTGAGGAGGTGCAGAAGATCGTACAACTGTATCTTCTTGACCGGTACAGTGTGCAGTAGTGGTTGTATGCACCGGTAAAGATGAAGATTGTCCAACATCAACTTCAACATATATCTCAATATATTTTAATACTTTCCATTCAACAAACGCATCTGTTACGAACTCCACATCTTCATCATCATTTATATCGTTTCCAATGTAGTATATTGTATCCATATCCACTACAGTCTCTAACCTGGCTATCATGCGGTGGATGGAATGTATGCCTTCTGACCCCATTTTTTGAAGAATTCTCTCCTTCAGTTCATTGCATGTAGTGCCCACTTTGATTTTCATCGTTTTTGTTTTTCCTTCAAATCGGACACCGTTCGGACCTTCAAAATGCCTCCCATTGTAGTAAACAACTATAGGAACCATGTTTGGACTTGAACTCATCTTTCACACAAAAATTAGATCTAGGTTTTGGGTTTGGAGGTTGGTTCGGATTTTTTAGCACAAAATGGGAGTGTGGAGATGTAATCTCAATGTCCCACCAAGATTCAGCTTTCTGAAATGATGAGATGAAATATGTGTGATGTTTCGGATTAGAGAGGGTAAGAGAGAAAGATTTGGGGTTTCAAAAACCCTATACCTCGCAACAATGGCCGAAACCCATACATATTGGGGTTTCTGGACGCAATTTACCCGGGTACACTGCTCCGTACCCGGGTAAATAATTCAAACATTTTCCCAGATTCAAGAACTCTACTCGGGTACACCCCTACATACTCGGGTAGATAAAAAGTTTCAAAATTTACCCGGGTAGGTAATGATGTACCCGGGTAGGCTTCGTGGTCAACGGTCAAACAGGGGCAGATTGGTGTTATGTTTGTTGGGGAGGGTAAATTTTCGAAATAGTTTTGAATGAGGGGCAATTTGGTAATTAATTATTAATTAAGGGGCATAAGGGTCAAAAATATATCTATCAGTTAATTGATTATTTGACTTGTTCGATTCTAGAGAACCGTATAGTAATACCGTAAGATATGCGTTCAGAGATATCTTATAAGTATCTTGGTTGACTTGTAGGCAATATTTCAATCACTGCGCACAAACAATAGACTTACAGCTGAGATGTGGATGTGTGCAGTGTGGACAAAAGTAGTAAATGAGTTCAGAGTATGTACCTAGATCTTTAGCCTTTTATTATAAGGATTACTTTCATAAGCTTGGATCTTTGAGATCTCTCAGTTGATATGAAATATGCCTTGATTGATGGGGATAAAGATCTTATCCCTTGATCCTCTTTAGATTATATGGTTGCGATATTCCTATCCAATCTTATAAGAGGGTTGTTAAGATATGGTTCTAATCCATAACATGACTAATACAATTCAAACACTATCAAACCCATTATAAGAGATAAGTCTCCCAAAACTATTTTTTAAATTCAAAAACTCTAATTAAGGGGAGTAAATTTCTTATCACTTCATAATTGCTAAATTTTTTTTTCTTAAAGCATGTATACGTGCCCTTTACGTTTTCTTAAAGAAAAACGTTTGGTATATGTACCAATCAATTAGAAAATAAATGTTTTCGCGTGGCGGTCTATTATAAACGGAAGTCTTAATTTCTGGTACTTCATAGGTTTTGGCACGTCAGTAATTGCAGTATTGTTTCTATCTTCAAGTTGTTGTATGTCAGTATACTTGTTTCTCATTTTAAATATTCGACTTATAAATAAATTTCAAACGTTATTAAGTGTTTATTTTGAAATTTGGAATTGAGTATGAAATTGAAATTTGGAATTTGAATTGGGGGTCTATTTACTTCTCGTGTTTAAATTTTTGTATAATTAGAATAATAATTTTATGTTGTAATTCTATGATATTGTAAAATAACTAGTCTAAACTTTTTGAATTCTTAATCAACATTGTAAAATTTACTAATTTATATTTGGCAATTACAATTATGCTCAGCCCGAAAAACATACGACGTGATTCTCCTACTTAAATAAAAAATTGATTAAAAAAATAATTTATAATTTTTTTTATGCATGTGATATATTTATTAGATTCATCATTATTATAACAAATTTAAAATATAAAAAATTACTATTTAACAAATTTTTAGTGAGACTTATAATTAAATTTATTTTCAAATTTTATATCTCACATATCTAGACAATAAAATTGAAATTGAACTTAGAATTCTAATTTTACACCTTAATTCTTAATTTGTACGATCCAAACATAAAATTTATGATTTTCTACTAATTCCAATTATGACAGAAATAGAACTAAATTGAATTGTAATTTTAGTCTATTATTTAAATGGACCTAAGAATAAATAAGTGGTAAGAAGTTTTTAACATTTATAAAAATATTAATTAAATGTTTAAATATTATTAAAAAAATATAGTTCATATGCATTTTTATTTGATTATCAAATTTTATATTCAAATTCATTCAATATTTTTATTATATCATTAAGAAGAATATATCAAATGTGAAGGTTTACCATATTATCAAAAATATTGTTTATGCATGGTAAATAAAAAAAAAAGGATTTTTCTGAAGACGTATTTTTTTTTTTTCTTTTTGGTAGATACCAACATGTGTCCAAAGTTCTAATGAACCTAACTAATTCAATTTTGGATTTGTCTTTTTTCATCTCCTCAAAAATTGCAACTCTCACGATTTAAACTCACTAATATTTGGACATGTTAAATCTTCGAATTTAATATTACGTTGTCACTAGAACAACAACTCTGGGTCCTAAAGACACATTTTGCTGTTGTCTTTATTAGGGAAAGAATTTTAATACCACGGTGGTGCTGAATTCAGTACCACCTCTTTCCCAAATTAGAAATTTTTAATACCACATGCATCCTCTATTTTTTATTTATTTACTTTTATACTTTTGTTATTTTCTAAATGGGAAAAGATTGTACCTACAATAGTGGTATCCAAAATTCACTCCTTTATTAGCTTTCCTGTTTCATCAATCATCAAGGTTAACCATCTGCTGTAAGAATTTTAAACTGTATTAAAAAAAATAAATTAAACTTGATTAGACTTCTGCTACTAATCAAACAATTACCGAGAGAACGTCATTATCTAATAACTGACGGCTAGCTATCAAGGGTCTTTTTAACTTTTAAGTATTTAATAAGATAATGTAATCTGAGAAAGTGGTATCTACATTATTTATTATGTTACATTTATTTACAAATTAACACTTCGTTAAGCATGTAATTAAGTCGCAGACTCGTATGTTCAGTTTATGCCTATTTTATAATAGGTGGAGGTGAGAGTATGTATTTGATCATTTTCAGTATTATCTTTGTGAGAGATTCAAAGTCTTAATCTCGGGATCCGTCCTAAATTAGACTAGTCGTGAAACGATGAACTGATTGAAATATCTCAAAAAAAATAAATAACATTTTGTAGGTTTGACCTAGTTTTGGGATATACTACAAAATTGTGTAGCTAGGTCACATGTTAGGGTAATTACAACTGCGGATATGTAATTAATTTAATGTCACAGACAATTTGAAGACAATATTATTTGAGCTTATCGGAGCCACATTGAGACCAATTGGGGCTTTGGCATTATCTGATTTTCAAAAATAGTATAGATTTTCTTTAAATATTATGATTACACCCTTCGGCTTGGTTAAATTTTCAAAAATGATACATCTTGGCACTAATTGGACTCCACCTGGTTGGATTTTTGGATTTTTTGACACGGGCTAAAAATTATACATGGCTCCGCCGTTGGAGCTTACCTATATTTATCATGCCCTATGCAATGCAATATGTATATACAATATGTTAGCATCCCACGATATATCAATCAATTATAAAGAGAGGAAAAATAAGAGAGATGAAAATCATTGAGTCAGCCATGGTTCCTATCTACTAGAAGAGGAGAATCGACTTAGTTAGGCAACCACCACATATGTAGAGAGTTTTCAAAGTTTAACGTTGAAATAAAGATGAAGAGGGCAAGTGCTGGAAATAATAAATATTAGTGGAGATAAATTAGGAGATTTGATTAATTGTAATCATATATCAAATATATATAATACATAAAGAGGGCAATAAATCAATAAATCATGCTGTCTCAATCAAATCCGAATCCGCGTTCCATGATCCACTTGGATCGCATTGGTCCAAAAAACTCAAATAAATTATTTAAACATACCATTATTTTTAGCAATTTCATATTTTTCAACAAGGTGAATTGTAATATAGATCTAGTCAAAAGTACACCAACCAAGGTGAATTTGGTCTTATATGGGTAAAGAAAGAAGCTATATAAAGGGTGATACTACCTTTGCATTAGCATAACCAAAACTCACTCCATAGTGAAGTTGGTGAAAAATGGGGTCTCTAATGGCCTCGGTTACCCTTCCCCTTGTATTAACAATAATCTCTCTCACCTTACCATCTCAAATATCAGCAGATAACTACATCTACTCATCACCACCACCACCAAAGCCTTACTACTACCACTCTCCACCACCACCAGTGCACTCTCCTCCTCCTCCTTACCATTACTCTTCACCACCACCACCTCCCATAAAGCCCTACAAGTACCCATCACCTCCACCACCGGTTTACAAGTATAAGTCCCCTCCTCCTCCTTACAAGTACCCATCACCACCACCCCCACCATACAAGTATCCATCTCCACCACCCCCAGTTTACAAGTACAAGTCTCCACCACCACCATCACCAAAGAAGCCATACAAGTATCCATCTCCACCACCACCAGTATACAAGTACAAGTCTCCACCACCACCAGTTTACAAATACAAATCTCCTCCTCCACCACCTAAACAGCCATACAAGTATCCATCTCCTCCACCACCAGTTTACAAGTACAAGTCTCCTCCTCCTCCCTACAAGTACCCTTCACCTCCTCCACCACCATACAAGTACCCATCTCCACCACCCCCAGTTTACAAGTACAAGTCTCCTCCACCACCAGCAAAGAAACCCTACAAGTACCCATCTCCACCACCACCAGTTTACAAGTACCAATCTCCACCACCACCAGTCTACAAGTACAAATCACCACCACCACCAGTCTATAAGTACAAATCTCCTCCTCCACCACCAAAGAAGCCCTACAAGTACCCATCTCCACCACCCCCAGTTTACAAGTATCAATCTCCACCACCACCAGTCTACAAGTACAAATCACCGCCACCACCAGCTTACAAGTACAAATCTCCTCCACCACCACCAAAGAAGCCCTACAAGTACCCATCACCTCCACCCCCAGTTTATAAGTATAAATCTCCTCCTCCTCCTGTTCATTCACCACCACCACCACACTACATCTATGCATCACCTCCTCCTCCGGTTCATTCCCCGCCTCCACCACATTACATCTATTCATCACCTCCTCCTCCTTATCACTACTAAATAGTGGTTTGAGTAGCATCTCATGGTAAGCTTCTTCATGCAACCTATATTATCATGATAATGGTATTAAACTTACCTTCAAATGCTCTTTACATGTCACGTGCAAGTCATTAGATAACTACTCGTTTTCACTTTTACTTTTTCTCAATTATCTAAATTTTACAAATATATCAATCAATGTTCTCACAAAAGTATGAAAGACTAGTCTGTTTGATACTAGTGTTTCACATGAAAGTCATTATCATGATCAGAGGAAGCAATTTTTTTTATTTCACTTTTGAATTTTCAAATTTTAAAGACGTATTTGATATTGATATAATTATTATTTTATTTTATTTTTGTAATTACAAAGTTGTCATGGGCTTTTCGAATTCCCATTTCTTTTTAGTGAAATTTTGAGAATTATATGACCATTGGTTAGTTTCAGATTTGGTTTCTTTTTAAGATATTTATCTGAAAGAATCATTTTCATTAAAATCAAACTAAGCATATTTTCAAGCATATTTTTATTATTATTGAAAAAAATATACAAATCAAAATTATCTTAATTTTTATTTATTTTTCCAAAGCTATGTTTAACTCACGTTTTCAAGGTTTTAAAAGCCTACTATTTTAATTAACCTCTATTAACACATAATATCAAGTTCTCACTTGTTAATCACAAGAACCAATTCACTAATCGACCCCTTCAATTCGAGAGTATGATAGTTTCTTAGTTAATGCATTTTTTTGTCCATGTGTATTCAAAATTAAATAATTATAATAATTTGCATCAATTACTTTAAATACAAATATATTTTTTTAAATAAATGTGCTTTATACCGCTACAAATAATTAATATATTCTTTTGTGTGTCCATTTTGTAGGATTTGAGGAATATGTGAAAATAAAGAAAGTTGTGGACAGCAGGAAGATGCACATTCGCAATTACACAAGGAAAACAACGGAAGCAAAGTTTCCGCACGTTTATCTTACAAAGAAGTGTCACTCCTTTTCTTGTCGTTTGTTTTGTTATGAATTACTGTTGTGTATTTAGCCAGCTGTAAGCCACTGCTTTGCTCTTCTGTCATTCAACATCACATTATTGTATTGTGTTTTGCAACCTCGTGCGTTTGCATGGGTTGTGAAGACAATTATATAATAAATAAATATTTTCTTTCTCACTATTCATTCAGTAATTATAAAATATTCTTGAGAATATTTTTAATGACAAAAATTTGATTTAAATTTAATTAAATAATTTTTTAATTTAATCTAACTACTTATATAATTAACTAATTAAGTTTATATTGTGCTTTTATTAGACATAACGTAGTTCTTGTAGGCGCAATTGAACTTGCGGAAGTGTTTAGACCGTTGCAGCTTGGGATGCAATAGATCGTAATCGTTTTAATTTACCTCTTGATGCGTAGATCTACGTAGAACCACTTCATCTATGATTCCCCTTCACGAACCGATCTCCTCTGTATTACGACACGAACTGATCTTCTCTATGTCACATCACAATCATATTCATACCTCATGTGTTTATGGTAAATCTTCTAGAGTATCCCCAAGGAGAAAGGGGGCTTACCTCTTCTGTTCAATGACCTGGAGATTGATGACTTAAGTGGTAGTATTTATATGGGTATCAAGAAACCCTAACCCTAAGCTCTTTGGGCTCTAAGCTTCTTAGACTCTTCTCATACTCTTAGCCCAATTGGGCTTAAGTAAAAGAGCATAAACTCAACAATCTCTCACTTGCTCTTTTGGGTACAAACTTGAGTTCAAAATCCAAGACTATGTAACCCACAAGTCACCATTAACTGAAAATCACCCCATCTCTTGTCTCAAGCTAGCCTGAGGATCTACCATATGTTATTAATCAAGGCTCATGATGATCAATGAATGATTATCTGATTCAGTGCTACTCCACTAAAAGCCTGAACTTGAACTCCAAGATTAATAACACATTTATAACATGAATATGCCTTTCCCCTTTGTAGAATGTTGATATTGGCTAATAAGATTTTTGTTACTTAATCAATTCTTTATTCCCATGACTGTGATAGTTTTTGTAAGAACCCGCACTGCTAAAATAGAAATTTAAATAATTTAATTATGAGTTTAAGAAATAATTTCATAATTGACTTTAGGTAAATATGGAAAGAGCATAATAATTAATATTAAGCAACTTTTCAGAAGGAAAGTTAAACGCCAGGTATTTCGCAGTATAAATGGTATTGATGAAGTAATCTGAAAAATAGAAATAAAAATATCAATATTCCTAGATAAATATCTAGGTTAAGAATACTAAATTTGGAATAAAAATAATAAGTAGTGATGTCAGAACTAATATCGGCTATTTCACGGTACAAAACGCGTACCGGTGAAGTGTCTCGAAAAATTATAATAAAAATATGATAATTTCCAGAAAAATGTCTATGTTAATAATATAAAGTTTGGTAGAAAAATGATTAGCAGAGCTATTAGAACTAATACTATTGATTAGTGGGTACACTTATATAAATAGTTAAAGGGCACAAAATCCTAGGTCATTTCTAATTCAGATGTTGGTCCTCTCTTTGCTGCACAAAGCTCCCTACACTAAGTATTTAACCTTCTCTTCAAGAAATCCACCAAGACTCCTTCTTTACTTGGTTTTCTTCCATCAAAACCCATTAAACACTAGAAAGCTTCCTTCTTCCAAGTAAAAGAGGTTGTCTTTTGGGTGTTTTGGTTCTGTTTTGAAGAGTTAGTGGGCTGCCTTCTTTGGTTGGTGTGGTTAGAGCCATTTTCATTCACTTTGAAGCTTCAAGGAGTCATCTTGGGGGAGAAATAACCAAGCTTTGAAGCAAAAATTCGTGCACCTTCTTTGACAGTAGCTTGGAGCTGTAACAAGACCTCTAAAGTCTCTTCTTTTTGCTGTTTTCAAGCATTAGGTATACACTCTACCCTTTACTCTTTATTTTCTATGAAAAAGATGAAGTTTTGGGTTATTAAAAATGGAAACTTTGATGATTCAAGTTAAATGTTGTTAATTTAAGTGTAATATGGTAGATTAAACTTCTATTTTTGGGTAAATCGAAGATTAGAACCTTGGAGGCCATTGGAACTCGAATTATGCTGAAATATATGCATTTTTGCATTTCTGCACAGGTGATAATCGATTACCTTAGAGTGGTAATCGATTACCATGAAGGGTAATCGATTACGTTGTGCAATTGTGACAGCAACACGCTAATTTGGTAAAATCCCGATATCTCGAGCTACAGAGTTTCAAATTGAGTGAGATTTAGACCTATGTGAAGCTAACACACAGAGATACATTTTGTAAAATTTCATAACCATTGGATAAGTGGTTTGATCGCAGTGTTAGTTTGAAGTCACGATTTAGTTGCTGAAAATTCAGTTTGCAATAGTCACTTTGCGAAAAACATAACTGAAGTTATACAACTCCTATTGAGACATAAAATATGTCTTTGGAAAGTTTAGGATGTATAGTTTAACATATCAAAATCTTTGAATTTTTTATAAAGAGTTGCAATTAAAGTTTTTAAAAAGAGTAAACACAGTTTTGTGCTTGGGGGCTTTGGGAGAAGCCTGCAATCACTAAACGAAAAAGAAAACGTAGTCCAAATGTCATGAAATTTGGGAATCTAATTATTAATAATATTTTTAACATAAAACAGGCTTCACTTGTCGGACTGTGTGTCTGTGGACGACCCTGTTGATACCGAGTTGGTGTTGGAGGATTTAGCATGACATGAAAGCTTTTGGTCCTCGGTTTTATCCGTTGCTTGTTCTACCAAACCCCATGGGGGATTAGTTTATGTGCATGATATATTTTCTTGAAATTATATCTGTTATGTTATGAGTATTGGATATGTTGTTGAGTTGGATTATGGAATTATATATGTTTATTTTATGAGTATTGGATATGTTGTTGAGCTGGATTATGGAATTATATATGTTTATGTTATGAGTATTGGATATACTGTTGAGCTGGATTATGATATAGTGCATTTGGAATATGCATATGTATGTGTGGTATTTCACACGAGACGGCAATCCCTGAGCATATCGGGCCATATGCAAGATGGTAACTCCATGTGTGAGGTACATGATGGACTCCTTGTACTATGGGTTGTAGACGTACGTAATGCCTACATTTTATTCTCTGGCCAGTAGGATGCATACACACATGACATGAACATAGGCTGCATGACACACTCATTTGATATATTGCATGGCATGCACATTTTATATACTGCATTGTTTACTGCTATAAATGGCTCGGTATAGCTATTCCCCTTATCTTGTTATTAATCTTTGTAAGAACCCGCACCGTTAATTAAGGTATTTAATTAATTAATTATGCAAAATTAGGAAATGATTCCATAATTGACCCTAATAATTATTTATGAGGCTTAATAATCGTAATAAGTGATTAAGAATGCTGAAAGTCGCTTTTCGGAAGAAAAATGCAGATACCGGTTCTGCTAGTCGGTATAAATGCGTGCCGAAAAAGTATCCTGGAAAATTAATGTAAGTGCATGATAATTACTAGAATAATATGTAGGACTTGTAAAACGAGTTTCAAGTCCAGATAATGAGAACTGGTGCTGGAAACCGGTACTGGCTTGGAAAAGCGCGTACCGGAAAAGTGCTCAGAAAATTATAAGAAAAATATGATAATTCTTAGAAAATTATGTAGTTTCAGAATCCAAAGTTTGGGATTAAAATGCTAAGCGTAGCAATTAAAGTTAATACTGTGTGTTTAAGTGTGTTTGGGCTATAAATACTCATTTAAGGGCTCACAACCCTAGGTAACAGAAAACCAGCGTGAGTTTCTCTGTGGTGGCTGACCTCCTTTGCTGTTCCATTGCCATTTACTCCATTTTGAGACTTTGTGATCATTTTATGCTTGTTTCTCCTTAAAACCTTCTTCCTAAACACTTGTTCTTGTTTGAGTGAGCCTTGGGAGGTTGGAAGACACCATTTTTTTGAGTGATCAGCCATTGTTCTTGTTGTTTGGGGGCTGACCTTGGTGGTTGGGTTGAAAGAAGTCTTGTCTTGGGTTTTTGGTGGTCCAAGTGTTGAGCTTTGGTGCTAAAGGGTCAACCTTTCTTACCATTTTCGTGCGCCATATTTCCAGTAGCTGTTGAAGTTGTTTTGGGAGCTTCTTGAGCAGTTGAACCTCTGTTTTGGCCTTTGGTATGTATACCAACCTTTGATCTTGAGTTTTAAGGCTTAAAAATGGTAGCTTGATGCATGTTAAGGTTAAAAGATGATAACTTGTTGTTGAGTGAGGCTTAACACATCTAGAAATGCATGATTAGGTGTTTAAAATTGGTAAAAAGGGAACCTTTGAGGGATATCTTCACGAAAATGCAGAAACTGCATTCTGTCGTGAGATATCCGGATATCTGTCGAACTGATATCCGAATATTGGATATCCGGATATGTGAATCTGTATATCCGGATATGCATATCCGGATATGCATATCCGGATATGGACAATGAGATATCCGGATATTCTGGGATTTCGCAGAACAGCAGCTGTGCTGTGTGAACAATATGCTATTGGGGGTTTTTGGACCCTAGTTTGATGAAGTTGAACTTCTGTATTTAATGGATTAAGCCAGAATCATGGGGTTAAGGGCTTGTGGCTTTGTTAGAAGCTTTAAGACTTGAAAACGTAATGAAAAAGCGTTGTCTTAATATTGTATGCTTGTGGTGCATGTTGTTGATGTATTGTTGGTCCATAACAGATTGTGAATCTGCTGTGTTTGGACTTTGAGCTGTGGACTCTTGGCTTTTGGAGTTAGCTTGCAAGGTAAGCTTTCGTGTCCTCGGTTTAGCCATGTTGTGGTTACACCATGTCCCATGGGGGTATGGTTTATGCATGTTGTGTACATGCTTTTGGATACTTGATATGTTGATTGAACTTTACATGTAATGGCTTTTAATATGCATGTGTTGTTTCATCTTGACGGGAAGCCTGAGTATGTAGCGCCATACAAGATGGTGTACCGGGGTGAATGCAAGTGGTACTTGCACGGTGTGTAGGTGATAGACGTATACCTGCACTGTCTCTGGCCAGTAGATTAGTATT